TTGACCCAAGTAGTGCTGAAGGTGTTTTGTCTGTGAAGTATTTTTCTTTATTTTTGATGTGAACCTGTGTGTGTTTAAAAAAATAAACTGCCTTTTAAAGATGCACTTTGTAGGAACGTTTCAATAAGCACTGAAGAAGTTAATAACAGAAAACTCCAGAGAGCAGAAAGAAAATTAGGAATTCTGTGGCATTTTTGTTATGATCAACTTTACTTCTCTTGTGATTTGTAACAAAGCCATCCTCATGTAGTGGGGGTTTTGATTTGACATTTTAAAGCATGGAATTGAATCGAATGTTTCTGTTTTAGCAGCCACTCAAACGAAGGGAAGTGCTTTTGGGCTGTGTGATTCAATGAGAGGTGAGGGCAGCAAGGTACAGTTAGTGTTACCAAGTGACAAGAAGCCAGGTTCCTTTTGTGACACATTGTGTTTGGTTTTTTTTTTTTTTTAGTTAAATCTACCTTGAATTCTGGTCATTAAGCAGCCCTCATGCTTTCACATTGTGACCCCAGAAATACACCTGCATAGTGAACAGAGTGATAAAATAGGAAATCCATAGCATTGTGCCCAAAGTGTAAATAGAAGGAAAAAAGGAAAGAAAAGCCACTGAGCGTGGTTGAGTTGCTTTAACAAGTTCTCAGACTGTGTTTTTCAGTAGTTGAAAAACAAAATCACACATCTGCTCTTCAATAAAACCCTTTTCAACAGGTAGTCCATTAGATGTTTACAGTGAATTTCCAAGAGTGTATTCTTTTGGGCCTCTTTTCATTTTGTCATAGAGATGCTCAGCAGCAGCTTGGGGAGTACCTGCATCATAGAGACTTGTGTGTGGGCTGAAGTGGTCTTTGGAAACACTGTATTTGGGAAAATTGCTGGCACTTCTGATTCTATGTTTTTTGGTTTTCCCTCCTGCCCCATGGCTGAAATGCATTGTTTTTTTCTGTTCTTTTCCTCAGAGTCACCTCTGACAGGTGCTATGGTAACCACAGCAGATTAATGTGGTATCAGTATCATGATTTTCTGATGAGATAAGCTGTAATAAATGCTCTGATGTCTGAATAGTGCAGACCAGACTAATAAAAACTTCAACTGGAGAACCTTAGAGATGAACTTGGAAGAAGACCAAACACGTCTTGCTTCTTTGTAATACTTCCATTCTTTTATATACAAGATAACAGTGCTTTTCCACATTCCACTCCTTTCTTTCCATGGGAGGATCTTCAGGAAGCCTTGTGGAGGACAAGATAAATGATGTAAAGCAAGGAGGTTGCCTTGAAATGTGGAGATACTGCCCACATTTTACTTGGATTAGGTACACATGGAGGTGCAAAACTTCTCATGTCTTTGCTCTGACAGTAGGTGGGGAATATAAGGGAAGGAGAGAGAAAGTTGACTTGGAGATACCTACGTTATGTTTTCTCTTCAAGAAGTAATTGGTCATCTCTCTCAGACATATTTTGTGGTGATTCTGTTTGTGGCCAGGAGTTGGACTCTAAGATCTTTGTGGGTTCCTTCTGACTTGGGATATTCTGTGATTCTTCCATGAAACTGCTGCAGAATCACCTTGAGCTGAGGCAGTTCTTACTCATTTGCATCCTCTTGGACTACGTTTAGTAACTTCTCTTTAACACAAATGAACTGTTTGTCAGAGTATCCTGTTATAAGAGAAGTATGCTAGTTCTTTTAAGCATATCTTGGTACTGGTATTTAGCAGTAGCAGAGTGTTCATGTAACGCTGGGCTGATGAATTTCCTGGTATTTATGCCAAGGAGCTTGCCTGCTGGATCACATTGCGGTTTGGTTGAGAGCCAAGGGATCATGGGTTATAAATTTCATTCCCTTGTGATTCTGGCAGTCCACGTGGTGCATGAAACAACAGCAAAGAAAGCCTGCAGGCTACCCTGAAGCAGGTCAGGCTTCAGGGGAATCAAATTCTCTTAAACTGTCGAAGTATTAATTGTGAACTGATTTTGGCAGCTGGCCCCTTGTTGTGGCCTGGTAAAGGAGAGGATGCACTTTTTGGGGCTGTGTTCTTGCTCTGTGGCTGGCATCTCCAAGCTGAGCTGCAGTTGGGGTCCTCCAGCCCTGGATGCTCTTGGGTGGGTTTCTAGAACTGAAATACAGCTGCTTGCTGTGCAAACCTTTAATGGTGGTAGAATTAACAGTCACAACTTTCTGAAGAGAGTAGAGTTATCTTGTGAACTGCATAGAATGATTGCCTGGAAGTGACTGCCTTTGTGCAAGCAATTGTTTTTTTTATGGGATCCTCTCAAGCTCTTTATGTGTACAATAAACTGTACTCATCCATCTGATATGAATGTGAAGCTTTAGTATCTGACTTTAATGCTTTCTTGTGTCAGTTCTTCCTTCGTCTTTCAGGTTGCCCCATTGATTCTGATCAGAGTATTGCTGCTTCATATTGTTCCTGCTTTCCACCTTCCCCTACAAAAATGAAAATCCTAACATGTTGTTTTTCCTTTTTAAATTCTTTTTGTTGTCTGGTCCTTTCTGACATGCTTTTTTCTTTGCTTTGGAACCCTTAGTTTTTAAAAACATTTAGTGGTATTATCAGTGTTGATGATTCGAGGCTTCTCAGAAGGTCGGGCTGTCCATGGGGGGGTTTTAGCCTTTAAACACTTGGTACCACTTTTTCACTATTGAGTAGCATTGGATTTTGTACTGTAGAGAGCTGGCTGGGTCCAGGACAGAAAGCAGAAACCCCATTTAATGTTTCCTCTTGTCTAAAGCATGAAGGAGCTCGGATAGGAAGCAGTGTTTTAGGCACAAACTTCCTCCCGCGTGGAGTTCTTCCAAACTTCCTACAGGAACGTGCTTACAAAGTTATTTGAAGCATTTTCATAAGCTGGGCCATTTAATTGGGCTAAGTTGCTCATTACACCTTCTGTAGGCAATTAGTGACAAGAAGAGGCTGTTCAGTGAGTGGGGTGAGTAGTATCTATGCACAGGCTGCATTGCTGCCATAATGAAGAAGGCTATTTCCTATTAAAAATACCATTGGAAGCTCCTTTCCCTATTACCTATGGTGGTATCTGATTCTCTTAACTATAGACTTAGTAAAAGATACTGAGGTTGACATGGAAATGACTAAGGCATCACTAAAGGCATGCCTCTGATGTTTTTCTGTGGTAGATCTAAATTCACTTGTGTAATTATAGCTGCAATTATTACAATTATATATTTTATTAGCTTAGAAAATAACTTAATGTGTTGATATTTAAGTAAGCACTTTTATTCACTTAATATTTATTCATGAATGTAGCTTTAAAAAATGGCTTTTGCTCTTCTTAAGAATTTCTGCTGGAAGACTGTGGGTACAGATGTTTGTGGGTACAGGGTGACTGCAGTCAGCTGGTGGATGCAGGAGAATCGGGTGGTCTGGTGGCAAGGAAAATGTCACAGCAAAAAGCTTCAGCTCAGGGAGGTGACTGTCCCCCACTACTTGGCTCTTGTGAGGCCCCATCTGCAGTGCTGTGTCCAGGGCACAGAGCTCTTGTATCAGGTGCAGAGGGCCATTAAGGTGATCAGAGGGCTGGAGCACCTCTCCTGCGAGGAAAGGTTGAGGGAACTGGGCTTGTTCAGCTTGGAGAAGAGAAGGCTCTGGGGAGACTTCAGTATGGCCTTCCAGTATTTGAAGGAGCGCAAACAGGAGGGGGAACGGCTGTTTATGAGGGTGGACAGTGATAGGACAAGGGGGAATGGTTTCAAACTGAGACAGAGAAGGTTTAGGTTAGACATGAGGAGGAAGTTTTTCACCCAGAGGGTGGTGAGGCACTGGAACAGGCTGCCCAAGGAGGCTGTGGATGCCCCATCCCTGCAGGCATTCAAGGCCAGGCTGGATGTGGCTCTGGGCAGCCTGGTCTGCTGGTTGGTGACCCTGCACAAGGCAGGGGATTGAACTGGATGAGCATTGTGCTCCTTTGCAACCCTGACCATTCTGTGATTCTATGATTTTATGATTTCCATTTCATTTGGTGTAGGTGTGTATCCATTAGTTTCTGAGGTACCGTGCAGTATGGTAAAGCTCACGTTAGTGCTTTAAAGCCCTTTGCTTCCTTTTGTACCAGTCAGCTCTATGGGTTTGTCAGGTGATGCTGGAGTAGGAGTGTCTGTTAGCATTTGAAGAGCCAGGTTGTGCATGACATGATACATAGCGGTCTTTCACTTTTTGTTCCTGCTCCTTTTGTGTGTGTTTGTGTGCAGGAAATATGCTCAGGGCTATCATTCAAGAGCAGCCTGTGCTGCTACTTTGATTAGGTATGAGAAAGTCCCATCTCTAGCAAGCAAATGTAGATGTGCAGGTGTTAGATGCTGAGCTAACATTTCATATGATGCTTTTGAGAACAAACACTTGTGACACACGTGTGCATGCATGACAACACTGCTGTGGAAGTGGGCTGTGTTTCTCTCTGGGATCATTGTGTTCTCAGAGGCAGCAATCTCATGCAGCAACAACTTGGTAGCAGAGTCTCTCACTTGTGCTGCCAAGCATCACATTCCCAAAACACCTTGGGTACCCCACTGCTAAGTGAGCTTAAACCATGAGTGTGTTGTGGGTGTAAGACCGAGTCCCTGTTACCTAGGCCATATGGATGGGATATCTACTAATATGGGGGTGGTTACAGCTAAGGTTCATCGTACAGTGTTCTGTTTTGAAACTCTTCAGAGCCACTTAATTGACTTCACTGGGCTTTGGATCTTCAAATGAAGATCCCACCACTTAGCTGACTTGCAGAGTCAAACTTCTGAAGCAGTTTTCCCCAAGCTGCCTCTCTGCTTCTAGATGAAGGGATCTGGATTTGGAGGCAAGCCCAAGTACTTCAAATATATCCCACAGCAATAAACAAACATTTCTCACAGCAATTAAAAATGAATTCACTTGATTAATTGACTGTGGCAAGTAACTTATTGAATGAAAATGTGACTGTGGATGATCATGATATGTTTTCTTTAATGTACTCAAGCTTCACTTCTATTTTCAGGGAGAAAGATCTCAATGCTAAGTTTATTATTTCAATGGAGAAAAATAAAACGACAATCACAAACTTGAAGGTGAGTAAACAATTTAAAGAAGACAATATTAACTGAATAACTGCCAAAAGATGACTGCATGAAACAGTGGTGCTTACTACATTATGGAGAACAGCCCTTAGATTTTGAATTTTGAAGTAATCCTTAGGGGTCAATGTATGACAACGTACTGCAGCTTTTTGATAGCCAGTCTGCAGGCTGTATCTCTTAGGTTTATTGCCATGAGTGTTACTTAGCTGAAAGATGAAAACCTAAAGTAGAAGAGAATTACATGCCCAGTAGCTATTAAACCTTCAATTTATCTGTAGAAGCAGTCTCCTGGAATTCCCATGTAACTAAACACAAAGTACCCATCGCTTGCTATAATATTTTGATTTTATATTTTAACATTTCTCTTGCCAAGAGAAATCACGCAAACCAAATAGATTTTTGCAAGATAGTTTCCAATGACAAATATGCAAAAAGGAATTTCGGTGCAGTTTGTTCAGACGGATGGATTTGGGTGGCAGTGATTATTGCTGAAGTGCTTCACTAACTGTCATGTCTTGAGAAAATGATAGCATAAGCAACAGGTATGTAGTGCTGTTTTAATGAGGGCTCTGTACTGAAATGCTGATCACGGTGCAAAGGTTTCTGGCTCCTATTAATTAGAAGTGTAGGAAGATCCCTCAGTATAATCTGGCTAAGCATAAGAATTGTGACAGGAATATACTGTTGTGAGCAGTAAGCTAAAATCCAAAGGATTCCTGCTATGCTGTCATGTAATGTGACAATCCTTACTTCTGAGCCGTGCACGTTCTTTCACTGTTAGAATAATAGGCTAGCCTTCATCGCAGATGTCTTGTTGTGTAGCCTCAAGTTGCGTTTGCATTCAGATCAGTTGTTAAAAAATGTTTTTAATGATGTCATCAGCATGTATTGTACCAGTTCATTTTCTTTTCTTTTACAGATACCAGAGGGCGGTACTGGCGATACAGGAAGAGAAAGAACTAAGACCTTTACCTATGATTTTTCCTATTTCTCTGCAGACAGTAAAAGTCCCAGCTTTGTTTGTCAAGAAACGGTAAGATTTCTAGTTAAAAAGAAGTTGGTTTCTTCTTCCCTCCCCCACCCCACTCTGTCTCTGTTGTAAAACCATTATTGAAACTTCTTTCCACTGGAAGTGCTTCCCTCATAATTTAGAAATTCCCTAAATGCCTGCGAGTTTGAATGTTTTCTCTTTCCTTGTCCTTGTCCTTTTCCTTTTCCAACTTATTTAACATGGTTAAATGCTGTGTTTTCTAATACAGCAGGCTAAATGCCTTCTCTTGTCTGGTTTGTCTTGTAAGGTCAAGCTAGACAGCTTCTCTGAGCTGCTTTGTGAAAGGAGGTATTAGGTTTGTTTTGGAAAAGCTTTTTGAAAAAAATGACTGTAGAGCAGCAAGCATATATCTGTAATTCAGTTGGACAGAAACATTCTTCGCTAGTTGAAATGCTCTTTTTTTTTTTTCCACAAAAATATTTGGTACACACTCAAGGACCTTCTTGTCATAGTTTCTTCCTTCTCATCCCTTGAGTATTCGGCTTAGGAAAGGACAAAAAAGCCTTTCTTTCTGCTCATACAGAATAGAAAATCCAACTTTGAATGATATGCACAGGTTAGAACAGGTTGGCCCACCCTGACCTAGCATTTCAAGTGGACATCTTTACTATTTCACATTCCAAAATATATCTATTGAGTAAATTTCAAGTTTTTGGTTATTATTATCTTCTCTTTTGATTTGTGGAATGTGGAAATGTGAGCTGAAAATCTCAGTCTTTCCCCATCAGGTGATGTAAGGGCTTGCTGCTGGATATGCTGTAAGTCAGATGACTACATTTGTTTCTTATCTATTCTGTAATTCCCACATTCAGGGATATTGGTGTGGCTAATCCTAAAAAGCCTCAGAATAGAACTAAGAAGAGGAAACAAAAAGTTGAGCCAATTTAAAATATTTAAAAGAACAGTGACTAAAGTGCTTGATTAGGAATTTATACTTGACATTTCTCTTCAAGCATCAGCATAAGCAGGAGATGATCATATTTCCATAATCCTCTTTATTTCATAAAGTTACAAACCCAGTGGTGCATGATCTGGACATTTGAACACTTTTAAAAACTTTATTAAGTAACACAGTTTTTGCTATATTCTCTGAAACATCAAGAAGAATTTACTTGAGATTGATGTAAAGGTATCTTAATTGCTTTAGTGCTGCTGGACATTTGAGAAACACGTTTGTATGCAATGACTGGAACTCAAGTTTGTAGTGGGAAATTTAGTAACTTAAGGAAAAATCTACCTATGTAGGGATCATTGCAGCAGCCTTGAGCAACTTAAAATTTTATTTTGAAGTCTGTGAGCTTTATGGTGCATAGTAGTAGGATGCTAAAATAAATCCTAAACACAGCCTAGATGTCCAGTATTCTGCTGTTACAGTGTGTCCCGTGATGCCAGGCTCTGCTTCCTTGGTCCTTATTGGCAAGGATAACTTCTGTTACTCAGTCTCAAAGAAGTTGTCATCCTATATCAAGCACGGTAATTATAATGTGTGAAAACAAAAGGAATGTTTGAACAATGGAAGTGCGTTTTTTTTAAAACAGAAGCTGCACAAGCTATTGTTTTGGTGGTGTAATTCATTCCACATTTAATTGGAAGGCTCTGTAGTTAAGCTCTTACCGAGTTGCTGCAGAGTTTCCAGTTTACTGCACCAGTGGCGTAGAAGAAGGGCGCTTTCGTTCACGTTCGTTTTGCCTGGAATAAAATTGATCTTGACTGTTGGTAGTGTGCTTTGTTTGTGACTGTTGGGTCTTTCCATTTGAACGGCAGAGAAATAATACAGAAATTCTGTCTAATATGACATGCTCCATTAATATGCCTCGTAGATGTAAAGTATGCTTTCATATTAAAAAATTAGAGTAGGAGTGGCAATCTGCCATCCAGCCACTTAGTTTGTATTCACATATTCACATGGGAGGAACAAATAGCACTTTGATGAGCTTACTGACCTTTTGTGACAAAACACTATTGCAGTCATTTGTCCTGAAGAAATTAAATCCTAACAGTGTATTTCCTTCTAACCTGTGCGTTAAGTCTGTGTTCAGATCATGCTGCCTGTAACTAGCTGCCAATGTACTGCTCCAGATTGTTGAGCAAGGTATACACAGATTCTTAACAGGGAAAATACATAAAGCTGAGCAGACACGTGGCTCCCATTTAATCCCATCTAGAATGACAAGAAAGAAGAAAGAACTCAAGTTATGGCCTCAAGCTGGACCAGGGGAGATTCAGGTCAGATGTTAGGAATAAATTCTTCTCAGAAAGAATGGTCAGGTGCTGGAATGGGCTGCCCAGTGACATGGTGGAGTCACCAGCAGTTGAGATGCGTAGATGTTGCACTAAGGGACATGGTTTAGTGGGGAACATTGGTGGTAGATGGACGGTGGTTCTATGATTGTACTTTCAGCATGGTGAGAAAACAGAAGGGAAGCTTTTTCTTACAAGTGCTAATTTTCTGGGTAGGCATGGATAAGAATAGTGCAATACTTCTTTATGAAGCCTGGTGTTGAGGAAAGCCCACAAACTTCATGAAGGGGGAAAGAAAGAGACTTTTGAATCTTTGCTGTGAGTAAAAGATGCATAGGGAGAACTGTTCTGTGGGAATAATGATCTTATGCTTTTGTGACCACAGGAAGACGGTTAATGGTAGCCTATGCACCCTGGAGGGCTTATGGCTTAGTCCTGAAATGGCTGCAGGATGTAAATGCAGGTGGGAATTTCAGCAGAGCTGTAGTCAAAACAGTAATGCGTAAAGGCTTAATCCAGCTGGTGAGGAAAAAAATGGCTATAGAGAAAGGGATGAAAGGGAAAAATCAATGTAGCAAGTACACAGGAGAGAGAACTGTACTGAGCTGCTGCTTCTCAGATGGCAAGAGAAAGGGAAATTGTGCTTTGGCTGATCCTTGTACTCTTCCTATTAGACAAGTATTACTGATTACAACATTGTAGCTTCTTTGCTCAAGGGAAGATCAAGTTAAGTATTACATGGGCTGGCTTGCAACTCAGCATCAATGATTAAGGAATTACTCAGTGCTCCTCCATGAGGAGTGGCGTGATTACAGTGAAGGTATGTGCATGTGCCATTCAGTGTTAATAGTGACTTGTACACTTTGATTAGTTCAAACCACGTGTATGGAGGAGTGACAGCCAAATCATAGGAAACATCTGTGAGATTTTTCTGAAGTTCGTTTATGGGTTGGGAGACCTGTATAAATGTTTTCATTGAGAGAAAAATTGCACCATGTGTTACTTGGGCCAGTGAGGGTATGGGTGGAAGTGAAGGGTGATGTCAATGAGTAGTCAGGTACCTGGGGGGAGAAAGCTGAAGGCAGTGCTACAGAAAAAGGTGTTGAAGGCACTTGGTGAGAGCTGAATTAGCAGGTGAGAATGGGCCACCTATATTATGTGATGTGATAGAACCATAGAATCCATAGAACGGCCTGGGTTGGAAAGGACCACAATGATCATCTATTTTTAACCCCCTGCTATGTGCAGGGCTGCCAACCACCAGACCAGGCTGCCCAGAGCCACATCCAGTTTCTGAGGCAAATGTTTGTATTAAAAGGGAAGGGGCTAGCAGAGAAAAGAGGATCACTTAACATTGTAGAAAACGTGGCCCTGTTTGCTTAGGAAGTAATAATTCTTAAAAGCTACTTCGAGAATAACAGGGCCATTTTCTTTATAGACTTGGTTAAATTGTGCCAGAAAACCCACCGTGGAGAAGTGCTAACAGGATTGATAAACACCTCTTTTTGAGACCAAGGCAATATTTGCAGAGCACAGAGAGTTGGCAGAGATGCAAAAAATAAATAGATATTAACAGTAAGGAAAAGTGAAAGACATCTGAGATGAGCTGAAAACAAAGAGAACTGCAGAAAGAAGAGTGTTTAGCTTTTTGTACTTCTGCAAGTCGCATAGATCTCTGAGAGGAAAAAGAAGTAGGAAATACAGTGCTGTGTGGCTGTAAACTAAACACAACAGTAACATGTAGCAGTTTGATTAGAAGTACTTCTTTTCTGTCACGGAGTAAATATTGTTGGTTGATGCCAACGGCTTATTACATGGTAGCTGTGATTGTGATTACTGTGATTGTTGAATATTTGCTGTGCTGGACTGACAACAAAAAAAATTCTTTGTTTTTAGGTTTTCAAAAATCTTGGTACAGATGTGCTTAAATCTGCTTTTGAAGGTTATAATGCCTGTGTTTTTGCATATGGACAGACTGGATCTGGGAAGTCCTACACCATGATGGGAAATGCGGTATGTAGCACTTTGCAAATGTGCATTTTTGCTCTGTAGCAGTGCATTGAAGATATGCATGTGTTTGATAATACTAACAAACTTTCCCTTGCATCACAACTTGTAGTAGTAGTAAGAGGTTTTAGAAGCTCTTATATCATCTCCAGGTAAATATTTACCCCTGCAAGAAGTGTCTTTAAGGGATGCTCTGTTACACTGAACAAAAAGCAATCATTTTCACTGTGTAACAGAACCAAATGTTTCAAGTGTTACCACTGATTTTCCATGTTAGACTTGAAGCAAAAAAAGAAGGTGCATTTTAAGTACATAAATGATCAATTTTCTTTTGAAGAAGTTTCATTATTAGCCTACTTTTGAAGGGTTAGAAGATTGAAACTCCTGCTCAGAAAAGGCTATCAAGTGTGGAGTAGGAACTGGGGTAAGAGTAGCTAAATGTAAGTTTCAGTAGGTAGATAATGCTGACTTTGAGTTTAAGGATTGCAGCTTTCTTAGCACTGCAGCAAAGACCCTGAAAAAGGGGGCAGGTGTGATAGGAAATGCACGTGGCAATCTGTGAGTGAGGAGCAAGAGTAGTTTCTTGCAGCTACCTCCAAAATGGCTCAAGGACAAGGACAGAAAGCCTTGGCAAAGCTGTTGGGAGTGGAGCAGTACAAGGAGCTGACATACCCTGTTTGCAAGGCAGCCTTTACAAGTTTAATTCCCCTTTAATCCTTGGGAAAAAATACTTTTGCTCCCAGCAGAATTGAAAAGGGGAATATTGCCACTTGTCCTTCATTAGCTCACTCTTTGGAAATGCCACCTTGCACCTCCTTGAGTTTAGGAGAGTAAATTAGCTTTAAATCTTTTTCTTTCAGTTGTCAAAGAATAAGTGGCTTCACTATGGTAAGCAAAATAGGCTTTTGTAACCAGAAAAGATCTGATGACCTAGATGTGGATTTCTATTTTGGAAATTTATATGTGACGTTTTTATGAGACTGCCTGACTATATGTAATGACCATAATCATCAAGACATGTTGCAAATGAATAGGTGCTGAAGTTTGTTTGACACTATTCGATAATAAAGGTCTAATCTTCTTGCCATGATACATAAATACTTTAATCTGGTTTTGTACAGTGTGTGTATAAAATACACTCAGCCGCCAAGTTAAATGCTTGAAAATTGATGGCCCTGTCAGAGACGCTGCGGTGCTGTAAGAAAACTTGAATTGGAAATAAATTTTCTTTTTCCCACTTCTCCTTAACAAATATGAATTCTAGTCTCCTTTTCCTTTAAATGTATGCTGTTCTTGGCTTTGGAAGGCTGCTTCCTTAACAGTGTGTGCCTCAGCTATTTCAAGAAGTCCGTGGAGCAGTCTTGAGCAGGGATACTGAAGTGGTTGGAGGTCTATAAAAATATGTTCTATCAGGAAAGTCTGACCTGCATATGCTGAGAAAGGAAGACTGTGGAGCAACAAAAGTCTTCCAAGATGTGAAAGGCTTCTACAGAAAGGAAGGGAATCATTTATTTTTTAATATTTTTTCCCCTGTTAGGTAGATGGACAAGCAACAGAATGTTTAAATTACAGTAAAGAGGTTTCTGGTTAGATAACACAGAAGGAAAACAAGCTTTTAATGAGAAAATTAAGTTCTGCAGTGGACTGTTTATTTTGGTTCTATCAACTTTAATGATGAGAAATTCTATAACCCTCCCCCCCCCCAAAAAAAAAATAAGATAGAGATGATAAGGTATACTTGATCCTACTTTGGAGCAGTAAGGGATGAAAAGAGAGGAAATGTTTAATTTTAGTTTCTAATAAAGTTTCTATGTTCTGTAAGATATACGTTTTAGTGACAAAGTGTACTGGGGAGTGTGTGCTCTTACTTTCTCATCGCTATCCTGCCAGAGTTGACGTTATTCAATTAGAGTAGTATTTTCTATTTTGAGACTCTCCTTGCAACTACTGAATTGTGTCAGTAACTAATGGCTTGCCTAAAGCCTTATGATGGATCTTTCATGTTTTTTTTTTTTCTCCTTAAACTGTAATTAAAACTATTCAGTTGTTTCCAAGCATGAGATGAAAGAAAGTTCTTTTAATTTCCTCTGTTTTTTTAAAAAAAAAAAAAAAAAAAAAAAAGTGGTGGGAAATTCTAACACTGGGCTCTGGAAAATAATGGGAAAAGATGCTCCTGTGTTACCAAAGGCAACCCTCAAAATAAGCATTATTCACTTGTAAGTTTCTCCCTTTATCTGAAGGCTGTTTTATTCTGATTTGGTTGTTGGAAACCAAGGTGCAGTCAGAGGAAGATCTAGATATGCTTGACGGAGAGAGTAGATAATTATTTGGAAGAATGAAGCCCAGCTAAGGAAGGACAAACTGGTTGTCATTAAAATCTTGGAGTAGGAAGCTAGGAAGAAGGGAAAGTGGGGGGGAGAGCATGTGGGTGTGCAGTGATCTGAAATAACAGGATTGAGAGTGGGTGAAGAACCAGGTAGGAATACTGTCTGCACCAAGGAAATAAGGTGAGGAGCCCTGTGATGGCATCTGGGAGAACGCTGACAGAACAGAGAAGCTGAAGAATGAGAAAAGATGGGAGCAGTGTGGAAGCAGGCTGGAGTGACCTTGGAATGGGGGCAGAACAGAAGAGAAATCTTTGCCTGTGCAGTGTCTGTCTTGCCAGAGCCTGGTGCAGATGAGTCTGCTGTGGGTGTGTTTTCTGCAGTCAGATATCTCTAGAATCCCACTAGGAAAATTTTCTTGGATGCCTGGAGTGCCTGGGCTGTTTTCACGCTGGATGTTTGTTGTAGTTTGTCCTGATTTGCCTTCTTTCTAATTACAAGGCTACTAACTCTAATGAACATCATTTCTTGCCTTGGCAGCACATAGAATTAGAATTAGTCCATTGCATCAAGTCTGTGCTTTTTTGGACTGGAGGCAAATTGTAGCTGACAGACTGTTTTGTAAGCTATTCTGCTTTAGCAGCTCTGAGCCCAAAGCTCATCTGTATGCATGTCCTCTGCCTTTGTTCACTCATTTCAGCTCTGGAGGAGTGTTAGCCTCTGCCTTTGTGGCAGGGAGGTGGGCAGCTCAGCAGATAGGTGGGTGCTGATGTACCTGCCAAAACCAGCTCTCCATGGGAGCATGGCAGCTGGGATCAGAGCTGTGTGGTTCTCATTCACCCCTCTGCTGCTGGGGAGACCTTGGCTTTGGTTGGGAAAGACGTTCACTGCAGATGTCTGCCAAGTCCATGGTGTAATGAGGTAGATGGAGGAATTAGACAGCTCTTACGTTGCTCTGGGGAGCAGTTCTGCCTTAAGTAGCTGGGAACGTTGAAACTTAGTGAGAGAGGTGACACATAGCCCAACAGTAAAGAATTGGAGCTAGGATGTACGTTCCTACATACATAAGGATTAAAGTGGCAAGGTGAATAGAGTAAAACGAGGGGCAGGAGAAGGTTTGATTCCTCCCATTGCTGTTTATGGGTGTGAAACAATTGATTCAAGATTTTATTTTTCAAAATGTATTTCACATGCATATGTAGCCTTGGGAGTAAGAAGTGTTGTTGTTTCAGGGTGATGCTGGCTTAATACCTCGGATTTGTGAAGGGTTGTTCAGCAAAATAAGTGAAAAAACAAAACGGAATGAGGCGTCCTTTCGAACAGAAGTCAGGTAGGTCTTGGCATCTAGTAGTTTGCTATTTTATCATACTTGTTTCAGTTCCTGCAACCCTGTTTCACTTATCTCTGAGAAAGGCCAGTTTTTAAGATAACTTTCCATGCTTAGCCTCCGTCCTATAATTGATTTTTGTTGGCAGTCACAGTCAAAATGTGCAATACTTCTGAATTTGATCCAACAACTCTGTACTTTGCTTTATGTACCTGATGATGAAAATGCCTTTACTATTGGAAGGCATCTCTCTTATTTTACTATTTATTTAAGGCTGACATTAGGTGCTCTTGATCTTGCTAATGTCTGCTCCCTTTTGAGTTCTTGTTTTTTTTCCTCAAGGACACAGCAGTCATTACTATCTTAAGCCGACTTTGGTTTTGCTTCCCCAGGCATTTCATCTTTCAAACTGTCTGAACATGCCTTTCATTTTCTTACTGAATCTTCATTCAGTCAGTGGTTTTTCTGGCCTTTACTTTCAGCTATTTGGAAATTTATAATGAACGTGTGAGAGATCTGCTCAGGAGGAAGTCATCAAAAACGAATAATTTACGAATCCGAGAACATCCCAAAGAAGGACCGTATGTTGAAGGTAGAAAGACTTTAAACATTTTGCATTGGATATTTTATAACCTTTGTATATTTTAAAGCGTTAGATCTAATTGCATGGTTGTTTTTTTTTCCTTTGAAATAAAGATGATGGTGGATATAGAACTTCCATTTGCTATAAAAGCACTAAATGTGAATAGCCTCATTTTCTAGTTCTACTTGCTTTCTCAGTTCTAAGATTACTAACTTAAATACAGTTTATCTGTTAAGTGAAACAAATTTCAAGTAATATTAAGAGGTGCAATTGGTTTTAAGAATTCATTGAATATGATTTATAAATCCATAATGTTTCAGATGGAATGAAGTAATCCAGTTGGCTTAATCCATCTTCTGCCACTGGAAGTTCCTGTCTCTTGAGAGATTATGCTTAAGCACCAAATACTTCAATAAGAATGTGTATTTTCTCTTAATTTACTGTAAACATATAAGTTTGCAGTTATTCACAGGAGATCTCATTCTTTTCCATAAGAGTAATAGAAAAAGCACAGCAATAAACACTGTAATTGCAGCATCACTTCAAAGTGATGGTAATTCGAGTCCTTTTGTTGGGAAGAAAAAATAAACCAAGTGCATGTATGGCATACTGAATCACTGTACCTTTCTTTAGATTTGTCGAAACATTTAGTGCAAAATTATGGTGATGTAGAAGAACTCATGGATGCAGGAAATATAAACAGAACTACGGCTGCGACTGGAATGAATGATGTCAGCAGCAGGTCTCATGCCATTTTCACAATCAATTTCACTCAGGTAAAAATAATATATTAATGTATCTGCATTCAATAACTCATATGGTAATAACAAAATACACTTTTCAAATCAGCAAGTATGGGTAAATAGTGACTGTATGTTGTCTTCTGACAAGAAAGATAGAAGTATGAAAGTAGCGTTTTGGCAATCGGAAGCACCTTTATCAGTAATCACATTACTTAAAATTAACAGTATGATTATTTAAAATGGCTCTTAATACATTTCGAGGAAATTCAGGTTGGAAATCGGAGCTAAATCAGTTTAAAAACAGAACAACAAAACATCTCTGTGGCCCAAATTATGGGGTAGAAATGTTGTCTGAGTGTTTTGTCACTGACTTTTCCTTTCTTACTCTAAGAAACCTATTTATATTTCTTCATTTACTGGTGGAAAGATTGAACTTGTTTTTTCAGAGCCCAGTAATCTTTTAATTTCTTATTTTTTTTAACATGCCGTAAACTCCTAATTGCTACTTTCTTAAACTTGGAGATGGGAGGAGAACGTGAATGTAGGTGTCTGTGTGTGGAAGCTGTAAGTTCAGATGTTAGTTGGAAGGCTAATAATATGAATGCAGCACATATTTGCAGTACAGCAGATAAATGCCAACTCACAGTTGTTGGCACATGTGCATAAATGGCTTGGAATTGCAAGTGCAATGATTTCACAAAGTAACTACTTCTGTGGGAGTTAGAAAAAAAGTCGCAGTAAATGCCTTTCTTTGACAACCCTAATATACCTGCCGTCCGATGCTCTGCTGTTGTGAGTAAAATTCAATGACACGAATGAGGTGATTAAATTGAATTCAGTAAGATTTCAGAATTTTGTAGCTTAATACCTTTTTTTTTTTAATTATTTTTAGGCTAAATTTGATTCTGAAATGCCTTGTGAGACTGTTAGCAAGATTCACTTGGTAGATCTTGCTGGAAGTGAGAGAGCAGATGCCACTGGTGCCACAGGGGTTAGATTAAAGGAAGGTGGGAATATTAACAAATCTCTCGTTACTCTGGGAAATGTCATTTCTGCCTTAGGTAAGTTATTAGATTTTGTGCTTTATGCTGTTGTGGATTTGTTAATTGTTAAATACCGTTTTGGTAATTTACAGTTTTTATTTACGCAAGTGCTGGAGTTAGGAACTAGATGATCTTTAAAGTCTCTTCCAACCAAAGCCAGACTGTGATTCTATGAAATGGTGACCTAGAATATATTCTGTGTTTGAAAATGAATGAAAATGTATAACTGCTATTTTTTTTTTCCTCACATCACAGCTGATTTATCTCAGGATGCAACAAATCCTCTTTCAAAGAAGAAACAAGTATTTGTGCCTTACAGAGACTCTGTGTTGACTTGGCTGTTAAAAGACAGCCTAGGAGGAAACTCTAAAACTATAATGATTGCCAGTAAGTGTTTTTAAATGACTTTTTTTTCACATCCTGAACTATTTATGCTTAATAGGATTAGCTGTAAATATTTAGATTCCAGATGCTTCATTCAGGCAGAGCATTATTTACACATTTTAATTTTTTTCTTTCTTTGTGACTTCTCTAGCAACACTCTGTCTATACCTGCACTCTTACAGAACATCTCTTGCAGCAGTACAACTGTATGTGGTCTCATTATGTACATGGGAACAGTCTAATTTGTTCAGCAATGTCGTAAACAATGGCAGTTGTGTCTCCAGAACCTGAGAATTTCATTTTTATGTTCAGGCTTTAAGGATTCTATGATTCTGTGATCTCTTTCTGGATGCATTATGTTTGGTCACATAACAAGGCTTTCAGATTGTATATGTACAGTCATTATGCATACCTAAGGGTCATCCAAATGTATGTGCAGTGAGCTCACTCTGACAGTGAGCTCACTGCTGTGTTAGTCTATAACACACACACAGTGTAATGATAAGCTAATCTGACCAGCTGATCTTCAAATAATGTCTCCTGTTTGTTCTTGTGATTCATTTGCGTTCAGGACAGCTCTGATATTTGTGATAAATGCACAAGCCTGGATCTAGATGAAGTCTTGTAATTCTCTCTATTTACACCTTTCCTCCACAGGTTGCAGCCTTTCATCCTCAGTTTTGTTTTGTTTTCAAAGAAGGGTTTTGTGAATCTAGTCAATATTAAGGTGTGAATCAGTTTACTTTTCCAAAACATTGTTAGAATTAGTGGCAGAAACAGCCTGGTCTTTTTTGACATTGACATTCAGTGGGTAAGAATGTCATTTTTTGTTAACTTACTTTTTGAGTACAGCATTTTAACTTTGTACAGGTTTAATTATTCATGATCAGTCAACCAACTTCTCTTACAGCTTTCTTTTTACTTATAGGAAGCTCTGTAAGGATCACTTGATTTAAAAACTGTGTATGGCATCTATTGCAGGTTTTTCAACAGATTGGGATGGGAATCTCATTAAAAAACAACTATTTAAACTACTAAAAATTAGCATTTGAGAGGAGGGAAGAATTTGGGATGTCAGAGGTGTAAGCGTGAAGCTATTTCTCCCCTTTTCAACTGTGATGCAGTTCAATTGATGGACTCCTCTTTTGAGAAATGGCTGGGCAGGGAAGTAGAGATTGTAAAATGCATTGAACCAAATTCTGGTTCTTCAGTTGCTTTGCTATGGTTGGATTTTCTGAGTTCTTACACTGCAGGATTTTGGGGATATTTCTGGAATTGGTGCCATTTCCTTTCGTAAGACTGCTCACGGGATCAAAAGGCGATCGTGGGCCAGATGCTGCTTTGTTCTTCTGGCTGTTCGACTAGCGCTGTGCTAACATCTTCCTTGATGCTTTCTTACAGTTACATGGTTGAGTAACTCCATGTATTCTGTGGTGGGGTGGGTGAGGAGGCTTTAAAGACGCAGTGAGCTTTCAGTGCCTTTACTAATGGTTATAGTGCACAGCTGCTTTTTCAGCTACTTTTCCATCTATTAATGGTGCATCTGCTAGGCACAGCCCTGATGGTTGATCTCTTCTCCAGCAGTAACTCTACTGATAATGTGGCTGAATTGCCTTACAGAGCCTGACAGGCTGTCCAGATATGTTTGGCATGCCTTTTCTGTAACTAAACACTCATGCAAAAAAACAGGAAGATCATCTTAGGCTCTAAGAAAGGTTCTTATAAAAATACATCTGATTCTGATATGTCTTGTTTCTATAAAATATTGTAGCATCTGTCCTGAAAGAGAATAATTGAGTAGTGGGAGGGAGGCAGTAAATAAAGTAGGAAAGTGAGTAGTGTGAGTTAGAGGAGGTATAGACTGGTGCCTAGAGCATCTCCCCTAATTCAGACAATCTCTAACATTAAAGGAATATTTAGTACTGTTGGGAGAATGAGGAAGGCCAGAAAATTATGGTTGCTTAATTATTTTTTTTTCAGGAGTTTTCATCGTCTGGTTCTTTGGGTTTCTTTTTCGTGTGCATCATTAAGAAGACTTCTGGTCCCTCGTTTCCAAATGATAGTCTCTTTAATTTAGACATCTTGCAAATTGTTAGGAAAATTAGCTGAAATATAGCATCAGCACTTTCATTAAAAATCCATTGCGTCTCCTTGTTGAATTGTCTGTAAAAAACAGTACTTATTTGTCTTGCTGCCTCAGATTAGGAATATTCTGCTTGCTGCCAGACACCTGCAGCTCAGCAGAACAGACAGTTTTGTAAATGGGTGATAGAAGCTCTTCTTTTGGTTTGTTTTTCATATCTATCTTTTACTTTAATGGTATTTAAGTTACTTTCAAAACTTGGAGCAAAAGTGTTTCTACCTGAAATGACTTTTCCATTGGATTATTACATTGATCCTCTATAAAATAGGTGGTGATTTTTTTCCACTGTCCATGTGCAAATTCACAGGAGCCTGTGAAGTATTTATACAGGATACTTATGCTTACCAATGAGTTGTAAATGTTACATAAGTTGACTGAAAGATTGCTTTACAACTCTTGATTGCTGGACCTAATTATTTAAATCACTTAAACACAATTATAGTGCCATGAAGGCAGTAGAACACAGTGAAGAACTCAACAAATTGTTGTTGTAGTTGTTATGGATTTCTGTCTTTTCATCCACGTTAACTTTATCAGACTGAAAATATAAACTAGCTTTACTAAATAAAACACGTGGTGCTGGATAAACTGTTTCTGATTTCATCTCCTCAGCTATTTCACCTGCTGATGTCAATTATGGAGAAACTTTAAGTACACTTCGCTATGCAAATAGAGCCAAAAACATCATCAACAAGCCTACTATTAATGAAGATCCTAACGTCAAACTGATCCGTGAGCTGAGAGCTGAAATAGCCCGATTAAAAGCCCTGCTTGCTCAAGGGAATCAGGTTAGCTTTACTTGAAATTTATGTGTAATTTTCCTTGAGCTATAACATCTATTTCTAGAATGTAATGAGATAATTATCTTTCATTATATTGATTTGAGTAAACAAGCTCTACGAGGCTATGAATGAATATTATTTTACTGATTGAATCAGTTTCCATATGGCCAGTAGATTACCTCTTTTAACACGAGGGGGAAAAATTATCAATCTCAAGCTTTTAGCCTTCTCTTAATGTAATCAGGCCTTGATTGCAGTTTGCTGGGGATCAGGTACTCAACTCAGCACAAGGAGACTGAACAGAACATGTTTGCTGTGTCTAGCCAGACAGACTGCAGATGTCCTGCTGGTCTCTGAAAAGTAGCAGAAGGCCTGAAGTACTTAAGATGACCATGCATTTTTATATTGATGTGGGTTTGGGTAACATGGTTGTTGGTTTTTTTGTGTGTTGGTCTACACAGTACATTAGAGAGCACGTTGTGTGCTGAACGTGCAAAAGTACTTTCAGTTGTGATGGAAGAAAAGGTTTATATTTTTTACTGGCACAGCCTGAAAACTCTCCTAGTTAGATTTATGTCTCAGGCAGGGGAACTGCTGAGAGGCCTTGCCTCTTTGAGTTGGTAATTCTGTTCTTCCAGAAAATATCAGCTTCTGCCAATGTGTAAATATAATAGAAAGCAAAGAAAATTGGAATGATATATCAATAATCCCAAAGTAATAAAAGCACAAATCTTAGATATTTCTCAGTTTTCTGATTTGGATTTGTGAAATTTGCAAAGTTTGATACTGACTGCTTGCTTAGCTTTACTGTTTCTATGGCAACAGATGATGGTTATGGTGGTGATAATTGTGAACACACATGCCATAATTACACCTGTTAGACACAGGAGGTTAAAATGGCCAAGTTAGGCCAGTGGTTAAAAACTGTATGGCTTTTGTGTGTCTTTTACTGTGAGAAGGGTTTCTCAACTAGATTGTCTGAACAACTGTTGGTTCATTCTAAAGTGTGCTAGTTAGGCTTGTGCTTCTGGTGTTGGGTCACCAAACTACGTGATTTGGAATGTCAGAGAACTAAGGAACTGGGACTGATCAGAGTGGAAGACTTTATAACAGTAGGAGTGATTGCCAGAAGCACCCTGCTCAGTGCAAAGCTTCTGCATACTGGAGAGAATAGTTCAGTATATTTGATTTACTTATGGGGCTGTACAGAATGAAGAATAGTTTCTTTGGAAGTGTTTTATTTTAATTATACAGAATGCTGGGTTGCTTTAAAAAAAAAACAAACACCTTTTGTTGTCCTCTCCCTCTCCACCTGTATCGACTTGCAGAATTTCTCTTTTGCTCAGTGCTATTTTTCTGTCTTTTCTCAGTATTGGCTACTCTAAACATTTGCTGCACAGGCTCAGTTAAGCTTAATTTCTCCTCTGTTTCCAGGATGATAAAACTGAGCTAACAATAAGGAATGTGCAATTGCTCAAGCCATACATCTCTTCTAAATAATGCCACTTGGGGCTGCTGGATTTAATGCCTGAGCAAATATGATTTGGGGAGACAACTGAAAGGATACTCTATGATTCTATGATTCTCTAGATTTATCTCTAGAACTACCTAAGTTTATTTTAGATAGACTGTGCAGTGTGAAATGTCAGTGCAGCACAGGCCTTTTATTTATGTAAGTTTAGTACTTCAGCTAGATTTCATGCCATAAAACATTTGCTGAAAAAGGGAATGGGACCATAGTATGAAGCTGTAATAGGTATTGTGGATGATTGAAGCTGAGTTCTGCTCTGCTACGAACAATTAGAAAACTCCTCTTGGGGCTGAATTATTCTTGTATTCTTATACTTCTTTTGTATTCTTAAGCAGAGAAAAATGAATGTTTCTTCCCTAGCTTGTCTAATCACTTTTGGTTTTTAAACATGTTAGCAAGGTAGATATAGCACAGACCCCTTTGAAGGTGTAATGCTTTGTCCTAATTCCAATTTGTAAAACAGTGGATATCACAAAACAAATGTGGTTTGGCTGTAGGATGTGATAGATGGCTGTATGGCAGACAATAGACAATTTGCTTAAGTTAATTGAATTTGTGGTGCTTGGTAGAACAGCAAGTGGTGTTATGTATGCACAATAGAATATAAATCCCTTCATAATTTCTTCTGTGATCTTCCTTTGTATTCCCAGAATAGTGTATTGCAAATGCTTCTGTAGATCACTGAAGATACTGGTTACTGAAATGCAGTGCTGGGTTCAGTGTGGGAGGTCATATAACAATGAGTACTGCTTCTGTGCCTATAGTTTCCTTTTCTAATGCCTATTGTCTTATATACAGTTTTTAATTACAGATGGGCAACACAGATATGTCATACAGCAAAGTTGTTAAGTGTTGATGCGTAATAACTTTTCATGTTTACCAGGAATAAGGAGTTAAATTTGGGGAATTGGGTGTTATATTCTTGTCTGGTTTCTGTGTGGGCATGTTTGTGACAACGTGCATTGAGAGGGAATGAAATAATGTTCCCAAACTGATGATTTGTATTGAGAGTATCTGCTTTGACAACACTTTGATTACTTGGAGAGTTTACAGTATTTTAAGGTCAAATGGCATATGTTAGAGTGGGAAGTATTTCATAATAAATATCAAAGTAGGTGAGCAGGTAATTTCTTTCAGCTGATTTTGCCAGAATTGTATTTTTTTTTCATCTTTTATTAACTTGATGCTATTTATTTTTTTACAATTACAGATTGCTCTCCTGGATTCTCCAACAGCTTTAAGTATGGAAGAAAAGCTTCAGCAGAACGAAGCAAGGGTGAGTTATTTCATAAATCAACTTAAAAACAAAGAAATGAAGTAAGGGGGCCTTGGTGCAACTGATAGCCATTTATTTTTATAAACACGACCATTAAACCATTAAAAAACAAGGTATATTAGTATGAGCCATATCTACAAGGTACACTTTGGGTTTATCCATCAGCCACATTTCTGCTAGGAATGCATTTTACAGCTCTGTGGTAAACACAGGGATCCCTATTGTGTTGTGCTGTATACTTTGAGTGGAACCTGCAAAGCGGTGATACGAACCTTCAGTTGTAAATGTATTTCTCATATTCAGAGAAGGCTTTTAAAACATTTGAAATGTAATTTTATTTTAGTGCACAAACAGAGCTTTTATCTAGGTGTAGTGGGCAATAAGAGCTGCTGTATACACACTAATTAAAGTACATTATTTGTACTCTGGCAATAATAACTGCTTGTCCTGCTCAAGAGTGTTGCCCTCTGCATGGAAAGCATACTGAGAGTGTTTTATCTTTTCTCAACCTCATTAGAAGGTCACTTGATTACTATTTAACCTAATTCCTGCAGACATGATTACTGAAAAATCTAAGTAGGTATTGCAGAGGTTGTAGCTTTTTTTAATACTTGAATGGATGCAATAATAATGCTCACACAGATGTAAAGACTTTATTGCCATATTTAAATTGTGTGACACATACATGGTAGATTAATGAGTTGTTTTGTCCTTATGTAAGAACAGCTTTTGAGATGTGATGTGGTGAATAGACTTATGGGCATTTCTAATAGTTCTCTTCAGTCTCTTCAGGTTATTTTCCTGCTTTAACATTCTGACCACCAACACTGATGGTGCACTGAAAAATGTATTTACTTTTCTCTGGATTCTTGAGATAGAGGTAGAAATGAGATAAATACATTTATTTCTTGTTGATTCATTTGCATTTCAACTGCCAAGACAGCTAGGGTGTAGGCTATTGGTTGTAAATGAGGAGGTCTTTGTGGGAACTGTGAAGACTTTGTTTTTTATTTGCAGCAAATTTTTGTAGGGATGTAGCCATAGTGATTTTCACCATTCTGCACTATGAAGTGGATTTAAATAATAAATGATTGTGTATGTTTTTAAATCACTGTATTTAATTCCTGTGCAGAAATCTGCTGATATCAAAAACTGAAGTGTGTGTATGCTTGTGTGTGTACATAGGTATGTGCACATGCACACTTATATGTGATGTGACAATGATTCCAAGTCAGCCTGAGCTTTTAGGTCTGTCTGCCCGAATTGCTTTCTATACAGTGCCTTCTAAAAAGCTAGAAGGGATTTGAAATGAAAAAGAGCCTGGTGCATATAAGTTGCCCTTTGAGATGGGCAGCTTAGTGACTAGGAAAGGCAGGACAACACTTCTGTATTGATATGCAGTGCTCTGCCCCTGTTAGTAACGCATTTGCAAGCAGACCCTGACTTCAGTGCTGATTTCAGCTGAGTGATTTCTGTGTTGCAGCAAACTTAGCTCTGATTCTCTCATGATGGCTGCCTGCTGCTGCTTCTTCTGCATGCCCTACTCTGTGATTTCTGGAGTTTGTTTTGACCAGATTGTGTCTAGATCAGATGAAGTGTTCTGTGATGGTTTAGTCTCTTAGTGAAGGAGCAGTAGCTCTCTTTTAAACATTTAGGTCCTAAACTTTACTTAAAGAGTTGCTCAAGTATTACGTACCTGTCTAAGAATTAATTATGGACTTTGGAAGGGATGTGATTTTTCAGACATTTGTTCTCTTTTACAGGTACAAGAACTGACCAAAGAATGGACAAACAAGTGGAATGAAACCCAAAATATTCTGAAAGTAAGACAAATACATTCTTTTTCAGTGTGGCATTTGAATAATAAGATTATCTTAGAGTTTTTCCTTCTTACAAATCTTTACCATATTGAATGTTTCCATTTTACTGCAAAGGAAGAGAGCTTGGGGCAAGGGCAAGAGGCTCCCTCATCCCCTTGGTGCTTGTATTGCATCCATAACTGCAAATAACCACCTTTCATGCTGTATTGGATATCTCTGTGGATGCATTGCATAGAGAATATGGGTTTTTGCATTGGCCTTCAGATTTGTTTCAGTCAGAAGCAGTTCTTAAAGTTGGAATAACAGCTTTCAGTTGAGTATCCTCCAGTAGGTCTCCATCAAACAGAACAGATGGATCTAAGCTGAGTCCCCAAGCACTGGGATTTTTGCAGCTCATTCATGTAAGCTGGCTTGAGTGCAGTTGTTATATGACTCCAGAATACTTCTGAAGCAGTTAAATCCACACAGTACTCTCTTGCATTTAGCAGTTTGAGTGCAGATCCCAGAGAGCAACTTGGTGATTTCCATGCTGTGTTTTTTGAATTATGTAGACTGATAAACTTGTCTTATCAGCATATATCTTTGCCTCTCTGCTGTCCAGTTGTTCTGGTAGGTTATTATGTTGGCATGTGGCTCTTGAAAATGGTATTTTTAGGTGATGTTCTAATGGGCTACTTCATGATTCCATATGAGTGCACCCAGAAGAGCAATTCCCACAGTTTGGTTTCCATGGAATGCACTGATGTTTTTGCCAAATGTTTTAACTATTCTGCTAAATAAAAATCTGGAAAACAAACCGTAAGCTTTCATGACTTGCAGTATATGCTGAGAAGACACTTACTCAGAGTGGAATTCAAGCAAGCATGTTGTATTTTAAAAAATTCTCCTTAGCGCTGATCTGAGACTTGTTTTTGCAGTTGATTTTTGCTGTGTATGACTTTTTAATGGTGTTAATTTTTATTTTAAGTTCACCTCTGTGTCTTTTATCTGACTTGCAAGTAAGTCAAATGACTCTGTGCTTAAAAATAAAGCACAAAGAGCTTAGAGAACAGAGCAGGACTGGAAACTGCCTAGCAGATGGCATGACAGAATGGGCTGTTTAATGTCTGTCCAGAAACTGAACTGGGAATTACCATTTGCATATTCCTCAGATGATTTAGGTCCAGTTTTACATTATTCCTCTGTTTTGTAATTCTGAAGCATCTATACAGATATACTTCTATATACAGGTATTTCTTCTTTTTTACTCAGGTGTGGACTGGGGAGTTACATGAGAATTGTTGAGTTCTATGTAGAGAATTGGTAAATTCTAGTCTGCAAAGTGAACTTGATGTAGCTGGCCTGTGGAAAGTCTTAGCTTAATGTTGGAAATATACTGAGTCTTCCATAGATATTGCAGGGCTGTATGAAGTGTTAATATATGGACTGAACAACTCAAAGAAACAAGGGAGAGCCTTATTTGTTAAATAGCCATAAAAGCTTTCAAAACAGGGAAGCTGTAATTCTGCCCTTCTGGTACAGAGCTTTTGTTGGATTAATTCATCCAGCTTCTGTATTTTTCTACATGTTGCCATTTGAGCATATTATTTTAGCATGTTTCACTTCTGGGTTAAAAGCAGTGGAGTTTTTTCTCGGCCCTGAAAAAAACTGAAAACCTGCAAAAGAATTCCTGATTTTACTGCTTTAGTTTGCCACATTTTACTGAGGCTATCTGTATTTTTATTCCACTTCTTGTTTAACAAATCTGGAGATCACTGCCAGCATATGAATGGGAAAGGGCTATATGGAGGCTTGCCAGGCTGCATAGGGAAAGCAGGTTTTAAACCAGAGGAAGCAATATTTCTTGTAAAGGACTCCTTCCCTGGCTTTATTTCTTTATATATGTAGGTACCACTTCTTGCATGTGCAGGTCATACAGATTGCTTCTGAAACTTGAAGGTCTTGGTGCCCCTTTAGAAATAATACTGTGCTCGCATCACTGCAGTCACAGCTGCAACTTTTCTGTGTTGTTCACCAGTAGCTTTCAGAACATTCTTCATTAAGGACCTTAGAACGTCATGTTTAAAAGCTGCTTCTCTTTACCTTCTCCCCCCTGGGTAAATAAGTGTGGTTTGCAGGAGATTTGTGCTGGCTGTATGGAGGATTTTGGTAATTTCTTGGCTATGCATTGTTCCTTGACTGTGTGATTTGAGCTTGGTTAAATGGTAATTCTATCTGGGATATGTGTATTGAAAGATTCTTTGAACTGAGCTTGAGCAGGTGAGTCTTGTTTGTGGTCATTCAGTTAAAACTTATAAGTATTTAACTCCCCCCCCCCCCCATAACTACACTAGGACAGACTAATGCTGAATCCATTCTTTTCTAATCTCTTTGTTATTGTTCAGAAGTTGAAGAAATTGTTGAAATTCTTCCAACTTATTCACACTTCAGAGTTACTTTGAACCTTGCTTTATGTGTTACCAGCAACAACTAAATGCTAAATAATAAAGCAGAATGGAAAATTCTGTCAGATAGGAAGAAAGAATACTTTGTGAAGGCAAGTTTTTGATTTAAAAAATACTTGGCAGCTTAAATGATTTCAGTCAGTACTGTGCCACAGGTACAGCTAACATGCACATCCCAGCATTCTTCCTTATTTCTGCTTGTAGCTTTTAACGTGCTTATTCCCCTTTGCCATTTTTTCTCCATGACCCTAAGTTACAGTTGCCATCACAGGGTGCATTACCAGTTTGAGGATGTGTAAGTATTCTGTCTGTAAATGTTGTCAATTCTGAGTACAGTGCTGGATCTATATGGCCAAATGCTTGTATCGGCTGCAAATGCTGTGTATGAACCATATGTCCTGCTGCCTGACTGGACACATCCTGGAGCAGTGGTGGTAGTGGTGATAGTGTACTCTTTCTTCCATGCATTTGGAAGGATCTCTTTTGTAGGGAGGCTGTCTGAGTTCGTATGGAGTATGAAGTACTGCCAAGTCACATCCAAAGCCAAAATCTTCCCGCTATCATCATGCAAAGATTAAGATACTGCATGCATTTTTAAAATGGGTTTTGAAAAGGGTTTTAAACTTATGCTAACTCTCATGAAGTATCTGTCATTGTAGCATGGCAGCTGCTCAGAGTTGTTATGTGTCTGAAGGGACAAGCGTTGTTTTTGACAGTGATGTTTATCTTCATTCTTGACCTCGTCGCTGTAATACAGTATGACACTTTAACCTTTCTAACCTACTGGTAAATTCTGTCCTCTATGCCTCTTTTTAATTGAATGGAGGATATTGTTGTGGGTAGTAAGTAGGGAGAATGATGCTTAGCATTTGTTAAAATACTGCATTGAAAAGCTAAGTGATGGTGTTGATCTAAAGCTCATAAACTTTGGGCTGTTTTCTAAATGTCATCAGCTCTCACAAGAATTGCACTGTACAAAACAGCACTGCTGTACATCACTTCTCTGTCTTCGGGTGTCTTGCAGCCTCAGCACTTAACTCCACGATTTTGATTCTTTTCTTCCTCTCATTGAATCTCTTTGCTCTTTGTTTTTCTTTCCCTTCTGTTAGTGTTTTTCTTTCCTGTTCCTCTTTTTCAGGGATGTGGCTGTTCTGACCATATGTGTTATCACAGAATCCTAGAATTGCTCAGATTGGAAAAGACCTTAAAGATCATCAAGTCCAACCACAGCCTAGCCATACTACCCTAACTCTAACAACCTCTGCTAAATCGCATTCCTGAGCACCGCATCCAAACGGATTTTAAACACATCCAGGGGTGGTGACCCAACCACCTTCCTGAGGAGCCTATTCCAGTGCTTAACAACCCTTTCTGTGAAGAAGTTTTTCCTGATATCCAACCTAAACTTATCCAGGCACAACTTGAAGCCATTTGCCCTCATCCCATCACCTGTCATCAATGGGAAGAGACCAACCCCATCATTTACTGGCATTGTTTTACTAGTATTCCAATTTGTGCATATTCCAATTGCTTTCTGTAACCTTCAGCAGCTTTTGTATTAATTCTTTAAATGTACTCTCTAGTGCTCTTTCCCCTCTGTCTTTTAAATTTCTTCTCCCTCTTACTATTGTGGAGAGATTGCTATAGTAGTTTAGTAGTATTGTATAGTATTGTTAGCTTTTTGCTTCTTTGGTGCATGTTATTCTTACCTAGTGTTGTTTAAATGCTCTTCTGCATGTTTGTGTGTATGTGTTACAGAGGATTTAGTGTTTTATTTCGTTATGCTGTTATTGGCTTCTGATGGTGTCATTAGTGCTGTACAGGAGAGCTCAACTGATGTCAGAGAATGCAGAGATTGGTCTTCCCAGAGTCTGAAAGGACAGAGGTCTTTCCTCTGTGTGTATGTGTCTAATTCTCATGATCAATATTTGAAGTAGTAGCTGCTGCTTCTGGCTTTGTCCAGTTGGACTGAGTGGCACAGCCCTGCTTCTATCAGTGGCATTAATTCTGCTGCAGTACTTGACTGCATTGTGTAAGTACGTTATTGAGTGCTGCTTATTTGACCTTTTTCTTTTTCACACCCTTTGGTTGAGTATTAGTTAATAGTACATTTTCTTGCTAATAATGTCCATTTCCAAGCGTTAACGTCTACTGTTGTTTGTGGGTTTTTACTTAGTTAAAATATAAGTTAAAGAAAAAATATTCATGCATACCTCTTTCTGAAGGAGGCGAAGAACTGTTGCATTGCCATGATGAGAGAGTACAGACTAACATTAAGCACTTACTGTGGTAGACATGTTCATCTAAACATGGCTTTTAAGAATTGCAGCTATATCCAGTGAGGACACTGGGAAACCAAAACTGAAAGAAATTGTGTTCCTCTGGATAAAGTGCGGATTAGGGTGGCAGAAGCTAATAGATTTTGACTTTAATCATTTCCTATCTGTGCTGGCTTACATACTGAAGTAAACTCTGTCAAGAGCAGTCCATTGTGCTCTATATAAATTCTGCATTAGTTGGCACTTACTTGCACATTCAGATAATATATATTTTTTAACC